CTCATGACTGTTGAGAGAGTAGCCTACGAAGTGCTGCCGCGCTGCGGGATTGCCTATCGAACAAAGCCGTCCTTCGATGCGAAGGAAGGATCAGGCCGCTTCGCTAAATGCTCAGAAGTGATCGAAGCTGTCCCCTCTGAGGATAAGGCATTCGTCTGTTCACGTGATGGGCTCTATCTACCTTTGAGGTGGGTCGTTCTGGAGATGCGGTGGCGACCACTCGCTCATACACAACTCCGCGCATCATTCAGGACTCCGGACGGCCGAGAACTCTTGCGAAGGCTCCGAGAATCGCCGCAAGGCAGCGTCGACAAAACTGGCGACTATATGCGTTCATTCGGAGAGGCACTTGAGGCACAGGGAGTCCGGACAGACGATGACCCTTATCTCAACGCCTATGCTGCGAGGAAGGGTTCCCAGTCGAGGACCGCTCCTCCCGAGTCATGGAATTCTCCTGGCGGCGTGGGAGCTCTCGAAACGAGTGGAGTAGAGGGCAGCTCCACTATTTCCCTCGCGTCGTGCTTCAATACGAAGCCCGTGAATATCGACGTCTCGGATAGGCCGCTCTTATGTCTTTCAGTAAGGCGAAGGGGCTCGCTCGGCAATGAACTCACAACGGCATCACGGCAAGTTCAGCCGAATGAGCTGGCATTACTTGTTCGTTTTTTAGCTGATTCCGTGAAAGTGATTGATCATCGATCACTTTCGCGAAACATATCAGTCACTGTCACTGACGTTTTCTCATCACAGTGAAAGTTATGATTTCTTGGAGAGAACGAGTTATCATCGGTGAACCCTCGTGAACCCTCTTCTAGGTCAAAGATGACGAGGTTGCTGTGGGTTGCACGGACCATGGCGTGAAAGTGATAAGTGCGCGGACAGGCCGGCAGGTTCGAGAGTTGTACTCCAAGCGATTCGGCCACGCTGAATGGGTCGGACTTGGGTTGTTCATCTTAGTATTCGTTCAAACTTGTCTGGTAAGGTAACCACTGTGACGCACCTTCCGGATGGTCGAATCGCTTCGGGTGGCATGGACTCTAAGATTTGCATCTGGAACAGAACAGGCGTCAGCTGTGTGGATCTGCGAGACCATGTCGGGTCGATATCGCGGCTGCGAGCCTACAAGGACGGGTGAGCAAGGTTCTCAGCGTGACCGCGCTACTCATGCAGTGCAAATATCGAGAGAGGTGAATTGAATGAAGCCAATCGTTCGTGAGACGACAATCTTGATGGGAAGAGCCGAGTTCGACGGCATTGTTAGCTCGAGGTAGCCGTCAGATTTTCCTGGAGATCTTCTGGCGCGCAGACGGCGAAGCTTCGACCTGTTGGTGTATGACGTTGCTCGGCGAAGCTTGTTGTCAATGAAGTGTTCTGAGTCAGATCGGGTTTGGTGAGCTCGAGCTATGACCGATCGCTGCGCATCTGGCGCAGCAAGGCTGGCGGTCGCGACCGCGGCTTCACGTGCGACGCTGTCCTTCGAGGTCACTCCGGGCCTGTGAGGGGAAAGTGATACAACAGAATGGATAAGGCGACTTCTTTCAGGTACTGGACTTCATAGTCTGCCCCAATTACGGCATAGTCTCCGGTGGGAGAGATTCAACCGCAAGGATCTGGGACGCCCACCCCGGGACTGAGGTACGCCTTCGATGGCTTCTTGCCATTCACTGGAGTGCCTTGGATGACTCTCGTCCCTACTTGATGGCACTCTCCGCGGGCTTCGAATTGGGTAGAGTATTCGACTGTTCCATATCGTTGGTCTAGTGTGTATGAGTTTAAAGTCCAACGCCTACGACAGTACGGCTTAGGTGGACTAGTACTGATGTACCATCTGAGGGGTATTAGTTCAGCCTGTTAAATAGGGTCTCTTCATCAAGCCAAAGTTGGTCTAGTAATTAGTCCTGTTTGAATTTGACTATCAATCAGGTGGCCTGTTTGCGAGGGCATTCGAAAGGTCACATTACTGCATTGAAGTCCCTGCAAGACACAAGGTGCGACATAGACGGGTTTTAGAAACCGCGAGTTTATCCAGCCTCACGGTGAGATAGTCGGTCTACGACTGGTGCTCGCTTAGAATGCATCGAGGACACTGATGCTGTTGCCACGCGCTTCTTACGCGCTTCTCACGGCGTCAGAAGCGCGTAAGAGGCGCGTGGCGTCAGACTGACGCCTGTCTGTGGTTTGGCAGCGTGGTTGCGTGATTGGCTTTCGAAGGTTAATCGTTTCGGGCGGACAAGATAGTGTGATATGCGTCTGGGACCCGCGTTCTGCTACCCGACGTCCGCTGAAGCGACTCCAAGATCTCCACGTCAAAGGAGCTGCCGTGAGCGACATACACGCGAGTCGTGATGAAGACAGCCTCATCACTGTTGGCGCCGATGGGGTTGTGAATGTGAGTTCCTTGCTTCGATTATTTCGACGACGGTCGCCATTCTGAGTGTTCTATAGACCTCCGCAATATTTCAAGAACGCCCCCAGGATTGAATGTATAGTGGAAAAGTCGATCCTGGAGGCGCTCTCGAAACTCAACTCTGGTGTGTGTGTGAGTTTAAAGTCCAACGCCGACAGTACGGCTTAGTTAGACCAGCAACGACGTACCGCTCTTGAAACTAAACTCTGGTCTGACGAAGACCGGGATTGAATGGTAATTTTCAATGTCTCGAATAGTCCAGTAGAATCTTGTCAATGTTATTCTTATTTTTTTGCACTCCGAAGCAAATTCTAGCGTCTAAGAAGCTTTTCTTGAAGGTGTTGGACGCGAGGATGGATTTCTCCATCTCGAGCAGATGGGAAAAGGATCATGAGAACTTCATCTATGCATCGATACTTCTTGGGACGCAGGTGAGCAACTAAAATCATGTCCGTTACAACTCAGCGAAGGGTTCACGGCGACACTTGCCCCTCGGGCTGAGCCACACCGGTCGTGTTTGTCGCTCATGGAATTTCAAGAATCGGCAGTACCGTTGACTCAGTTGTGTACTGCTGGTGGGGACGGAACCGTGGCTGTGCGAGATATCACAACTGGCCAACTCCGCTATCACGAGAAAGTAGCCGAGAATGCCCTTCGGTGAGGTCGGGGACTATGCAATAACTTCCTATAAACGCTTTGATCACTGGGGGTACTTTCTGACTGCAGGTGCTTCGGTGTCGTCCAAGACGGTCTCATCGGCGCCGGCGATGACGGAAACGTTCTGAGTTGGAGCCGATTATCTGCATGAAGTTTTCCGTCTCCCTGCGCTGGTGTACCGCTGAATTTTGTTGTGCTCAGTTCAATTGTAGCGCACAACTGCTTGTCGGGCGCAGTAGCTGATAGGAACATACGTCGTGGATCTCGGGAAGCCTTCAGCTGCAGCCCATAGTCTACGGGGTTTGGGATCTCGATCAACTCACGGAGAATACAAGTAGCAAGAACGAAAGTGAGTGACTCGGATTGACGACTCCCCTCGCTGCCTCGGCAGGCTCTGAGGATTTCCTCTAACTCGTTCCATTCAGTCTCGAATATCGTAGAACCCAAACTCTGTTCCAGTGACACACTTGACCCACCCAAAACTCGTCGAACTCGACACGTCTTGGAAGGGCAGCAAGTTCTCAGTGAAACGGTCTTTTCGGCATTTTGTCCTTTCATGAGATCATCTCGCATCACGAGGCCTGAGTAGGTACGCTTATATGCTGTAGCGCATATACCTTCCAAGTTTGAAGGCAGTACCCTTCATGGATGGGGCAAATAACAACATGCGTGAGCCGATGTACAGCTATGGCTGTAGCAAAAGCGAAGCAAGAGCTGCGTTAAGCGACCGAATTCGAGGGAATTTTAATGAGTACCTGTAAAGGTTGCCATCGAGAGTGTTAGCCTCGGTAGGAGGGGAGTCAAGTTCTAGGATATGGACTTCTCGAGTCTCGGAGATGAAGCTTGTGGTCGACACCCTGTGGGAAGAGTTAGTGTTTCGTGGTCGTGCACAGCCTCCCCAGTTGTGGAAGCGGATCCTGCCGGGAGAAAAGGAAGTATCTTAGGTTTGCCCGGCCCTCTACCTGAGCGCTACTTCCTGTGCTCAATAAACTTGCCAAAACTCATCCCTCTTGAAACAAGATACATCGGTGCTAATCTGACTAAGCCGCTTCTTGGCGTTGCACTTAAAACTCACACACACATGGCTGGGGAGAAATCGAAAATTAGAAAATTCTCAGAAGATCACGACTTATCGATCAAAACTGCCCTTAATAACGAGCAATACATGACTAAACACCACAGCCTCCACTTCACCACGTCACGTCACGATTTATCACGGGCAGCGCAATCGCACGTTTTAGTAGTTAAGTGCAATTTATATTCAATTTCGATCCAAATGCCGTACGGCAACTGAGGAAGCACCTAATAACTAGCTTGATCCGAAAATGTTAGCGCCAAACTCATTCTACCCATGATTATGAGTAATAACCGGACCATTTATGTACCTTTTCTCTGTAGTGCAGTGGTTAGCACTCTGGACTTTCAATCCAGCGTCTCGGGCTCGAATCCCGATCGAACTTCAGCTCTACGTAGTTACTGCTCGTTACTTTTATCAGGTATATTACTACCTGGCCTATGGACATACGATTGCTCCTGAGGACACATTATTCACGGTTCAGATAATCTGAATCAGATTGAAACTGCCCTTAATAACGAGCAATACATGACTTAATTATCACGTCTTCCTGCTCTAGGGCTTCGACCGACTTCTTCTGCGTCTTCCTCCATCCCCGCGGTCAACGCCCCAGTCGCCAGTTCTCGAACGCTTGCTCCAGTTGCTGTTTTTTTTACCTTTCTCGCAAATATTCAGTGGGGGGCCTCATTCATTATTCAAGGTTCGATAGTGTAGTGGTTAGCACTCTGGAATTTGAATCCAGCTATTCGGGTTCGAATCTCGCTTGAACGTCATAGTCCCAGCTTCAGCTCCCTACTCTCCATCACCTATACTACTACTGGCCTACGGGCATATGATTCCATCTGAGAATGCCTCATTCACGGTCCATAGTGTAGTGGTTAGCAATTTGGACTCTGAATCCAACAGCTCGGGTTCGAATCCCGGTAGAACCTCAAGGGCCCAGCTTTAATTAGCTTCAGCTCCTTACTTTTTATCAGCTATATTACTACCCGGCCTACGGGCACACGATTGCATCTGAGAATGCCTTATCCACGGTTCTATAGTGTAGTGATTAGCACTCTGGACTTTGAATCCAACGACACGGGTTCGAATCCCGATAGACTCTCAACGGTTCAGCTCTACGCACTTTAGCTCCTTACTTTTTATCAGGTATATTACTACCTGCCCTACGGGTATACGATTGCATCTGAGAATGCTTCATCCACGGTTCTATAGTGTAGTGGTTAGCACTCTGGACTTTGAATCCAGCGACTCGGGTTCGAATCCCGGTAGAACCTTAAGGGCCCAGCTTTACGTAGCTTCAGCTCCTTACTTTTTATCAGGTATATTACTACCTGCCCTACGGGTACACGATTGCATCTGAGAATGCTTCATCCACGGTTCTATAGTGTAGTGGTTAGCACTCTGGACTTTGAATCCAGCGACTCGGGTTCGAATCCCGATAGAACCTTAAGGGCCCAGCTTTACGTAGCTTCAGCTCCTTACTTTTTATCAGGTATATTACTACCTGCCCTACGGGTATACGATTGCATCTGAGCATGCCTCATCTACGGTTCTATAGTGTAGTGGTTAGCACTCTGGACTTTGAATCCAGTGACTCGGGTTCGAATCCCGATAGAACCTCCAGGGCCCAGCTTTACGTAGCTTCTGCTCCTCACTTTTTATCAGGTATATTACTACCTGGCCTCGGACATACGATTGCTCCTGAGAAGTACCGGTTACGTAGTAGGCGCGTTTAGTTACGAGGCGGAGACAATAGCACAATTGCGTCCGCTCAGCTCGGCGCTTCGCGAGCTTGAGTGGTGCAACCGTTCTGTGGTTGGTCTGTGCACATCGTCAGGTTGCATAGTTTTATTTGATTATAAACCCATCCCGCCCACACCTGCGCTGGAGGCTCTGGTGCGGTTTGTTACCGACCAGGTCTCGCGGGCTCATCATGCCCTGGCAAGTACCGTATCGTGTGTATGCTCACCGCTGCCACGATTGCGGCTGACCGATTCGCATGCCGGTGTCTGACGGACACCGTGTAGCGTTCGGTGTTTGCCCAGGTTCATGATAGGGTCACTGCTGATTACCCAAACTTCGCAGGTATGGTTGGAGACTCGCTAACTAACGCATCATTCACGGTTGTATAGTGTACTGCTTAGCACTCTGGACTTCGAATCCAGCGACTTGGGTTCGAATCCCGCTAGAACGTCAGATTCAGATTGAAACGTTCCTTAATAACGAGCAATACATGAATTAGTCATCACGTCTTCCTGCTCTAAGGCTTCGACCGACTTCTTCTGCATCTTCCTCCATCCTCGCGGTCACCGTCCCAGTCGCCAGTCCTCCGACGCTTGCTCCCGCTGCTGCTATTTATTTTTTTCTTTTTTTGACAGCAAATATTCAATGGTGGGCCTAGTACAAAACAGAGGCGGAAAAAAAAGTTGTGCCTGCCCGGCACTACAATAAGCCCCTGCGAGCATCGAGATACTGCATGAGGGCCGAACAAAGTTGATTGAAGGACTTGCGTCGCTTCAAATCAACAATTAGTTTATATAAATGGTAAGGGACACCACCTTGGACCCTATTCCTAGCCTGCTGCAGGAGCGGACAGGAGAGGAGGTAGTGCCGCGTGTTCCCCACCGGCGCCCCGCAGTCACACTCTGGCGAGTTGACCACCCCGCATCTATAGAGATGGGCTGAGGTTGGGGCCCTTCCGAATACGACGAAGGACGAAAGAATCCCCGCGGATCCACAAACGAGCGCATGAAGCGCAGTAAAAGAAGTCGTTGACCGAAGTGCCCAGGCTGGCTCTCTTGTCTGACCACCACTTGCGCAGTGACAGACGGCCAGCTTCTCCTTGATACCGCCGAAGAGTCCTCACACTGATTTCCGTCTCCGCAGAGACCTCCCTCATGGAGGCACCCTTGGCTGCCAGCTCGTCGGCCCGTTCGTTGGCACTGATGGAACTGTGCCCCGGTACCCATCGAAGGGATACCCTACCAGGGATTTCGGACAAGGACAGATAGATCTGTCTCGCCTTATACCACTGGGCGACAGGATCTTGAGTACCGCCTGAGAGTCCGTGAAGATCTCCCAGGCCTCGTCACCCGCTAGAACGTCATAGCCCAGGTCTGACCTGGGCGACGTCGAACCGTCCCAGAGCCTCCAACACAGGTGTGGGCGGGAGGGGTTAATATCGAAATCAACTACAACGCACAAGCTACTGTACTTTATAGACAGTGTAGCTGTTGAAGCACTCATGCAACTAGTTTCCCCTGAGCTCACGGAAAATTCGAGGAACTGATTTTGGTATTGTCTCCGTCTCCGAACTAAACGCGCCTACTTCGTAACCGGTACATAATGGTAGCTTCGGATCAACTACTATAGCATTTAAGGTCGATTCAATCATGTGAACAAACTCAAGATACCAAAACACCCACCGTGGGGCTCGAACCCACGACCACAAGGTTAAGAGCCTTGCGCTCTACCGACTGAGCTAGACGGGCTACACGTACTAAACAATAGAGACGTTCTAGGCTACAACAACACGCGACGGCAAAAGTTACACAAAGACTGTCTGCAAACGACTGTCAAAATTGTTCAAATCCGGCAAACCGGAATCGAACCAGGGACCATCCGATATCTACATCACTACAGTCGGACGCTCTACCAACTGAGCTATTGCCGGTTCAGAAACTCGACCACCAGTTCGAAAGAAACAAAACCAGAAACTCTTTCATGCGAACATCTCTCTGCTTGGAATGCCATCTATCGACAGTGGCGTGTCATGTACCGCCCAATACTTGGCGGAGAGAAACGACGCTGACGCGGACGTACCAATCTCATGGGCAAGGATGGAGAAATGAGAAGGATCGTAGAGTTCGATTCGCGGCTCCTACTAGGTCAAACGATGTACCCGTGGACCCTGCATACGTATCGCTCTTTTCTGGGAGTAAAAAATCAACATAAATTCCACCCGACGTTTCGTCTCCCACCTCCACGCCTTCCACGTGTGATGACACGAAACTGAGAGTAGTGCAGAGCCGAAACGCAATAGGCTAAAGCCTCACCTCAGCGACTTAGCCGAGAATTCGATTTGATGCACTTCATCTCCGAGCAGGACTACGCCTGGTGACTTTAATTTCTTCATGGCCGTGTATGTATCGGCAATTGTCGGGACTCTGCGACTCGCAGAGTGCGAGCAAGATGAGAGATCTGCATGCGAACACTGAGTAGCGAGAAATACTGGAACAAGCACGAGCACGAGCCCGGTTCAGGCAATAGCAGATCAACGACCTTCTATGAAAGCAAGGATGAAGCAAGCGCGAGCAAGGATACAAAAAGCTGATCATCTACCTTAAACAGAAGATAGCATCATTGAACTGCTCTTGCACGAACCATCTGGTATCAGCCAATAGGTCGACGGTAGTCTCCCTCCCGCGGCGGGGGTCCCGCCACCCTCCGCACTTCTCCGCGCCTGAGGAGCCCTGAACATCACAGTGTTTCACCCCAGCTGTAATGACCAACCTGAGCTGCAATGAGACCATCACAAATGCCTCCGTCGCTTTCGTTCTCGCTTGCCTTTGATTTACCATTGTGCTCGAAACTGCCAAGGTTAATAATTTCCTCGCGGGCGAAGGCCCCTGCCGCGCCGGCTTATAGTCATCCAGGGAGTTTTCAAGAGCTCAATCGGAATATATCATCGATTCACACTCTGCGGGGACGCCTTTTGGGCCGGGGGCCCGCCCGGGGCGGGCCGCCCCGGCGATCCGTGGTGTAACGGACAGAGATCGACCTCATGCGTAGTCTTTCAGATGAACTTGCGATTGACATGAGTCTAACAGCACTGCTAAGGAGAACTCGAAACTTAACGCACTCCCCCGGATGCCGGTCTCCGTCAAAAATCAATCTCATGATTGATAGCGCCGGGCGCTATCAAGGGCGCTAAGCGGCGTTTAGTGAGCGCCCTCATAGCCCGCCCTAACTCGTTACTAATGAGTGACAACGCGACACTGGCAGCGCATCCGCCCCCCTATATCCGGTCAGGAAATGTGCCTGCTTGGAATTCGAATCGGAGTGAATGGAGCCAAGGGGCGTTGAGATTCTTCACGCAATCCACTCTGAACTCACTCGATTTTTGATTTCTTAACACCCCAAAGAAGGCCGGGTTAATTCAACCCCGAATTCTTCACTGAAGATGCCTCGCTAGCTGGGAACTTCCCAGCTAACTTCCCAGTCGGAAGTCACGGAGTTCATTTCAGTTCGCTGTTTCCCATCCGGCATGGGAGATGCTCCGTGTGAGCTGCTGGGTTCTACTCTCAATATTAGCTCTGACCACGGCGATTGCGATGCAGTCCGGCAAGATCCAGGTAACAGCGAGGACGCAGCGTTCTGCCAGCATCTTCATTGAATATCCTTCAGGCTGGCGACGCAACCCGTGACGGAGCGGCGAAGGTACAACATAGCCCCGGGAAACGACTGTTCAGTTGTGTGACACAACTTGTGTCGTTCAGGTATCCTCCTTTAGGAGAGTGTGTAGGATTTTCTATCCAGGAAGCGATCTCAGTGTTCTTCGTGATTTCTTCGATGGCGGCAGTATCGCGGTTATACTCAATGTATGGGAAAAGTCAGCCGGAGCAGATATCAATTCCTTCGAATACAGGTGACACTCGAGCGATACTCAGCTCCGGGAGCTGAGCTCCCGCGGACGGGATCTCATTCCGATTGCGTGTTGTCAGGGAGAAGCCCAACGGGAACGCTTTGCTACATTACAGTAATGGCCCGGCAGCAGGCACGATAAAGGCTTCGGCGGGTTATATAAAAAGTACATTCGCCGAGATCTTCCCTATTGCTCATATCATTGATGAACTCAAAAAACGGATCGATGGCGTCATGAACGATAGTCAGTGCAGAGAGCTGATCGAATTCATTGAGACCCGCCCGG